GGCTGGCGGACTCGGCAGGGCTGTGGCAATCCTGCTCCATGGTACCTCCCATCCTGGGGCTGGCGGACTCGGCACCTTCCGGGGTGGGGATATTAGAGGATGTCATGTTCATCTGCTGGGCTGACTCCATCCACAAGGCAAAGGACATTACTGTCTCCTCCCCCCACTGAGCTGTGTGCCCTTTACCTGCACCCCAACCTCCTGTGAGGCAGGAACCCCTCCGAACTGAGACCCCCAACTCCCATGAGGCAGGAGCCCCTCCAAAGCAAGATCCCCAACCCCATGAGTCAGGAGCCCCTCCTGACCAAGCCCCCCAACTCCTGTGAGGCAGGAGCCCCTCTGGACCAAGACCCCAGACCACATGAGGCAGGAGCCCCTCCAGACCAGGACCCCCCAACCCTGTGAGGCAGACAACCTCAAAGTGCCTGAACTGACTGCCTTGTGACTTGCAAGAGAGCTTTTAAGGAGCCAATATAGGAATTGTTTTCTTCTAAAGATGTTTCACAGTAGACAATAAATATTTTTTAAAGGCAGTGGAAATGGGTTCTTGCTGAAAGGCTATGGGCCGCCTAAAGGCTGTGTGTACCCCCATGGACTCAGCCAGGCCAGGAGGTCTTGGGTGAGGAGGCTGAGGGTTCTGAGCAGGCTGAGCCCTTGGTGTCCTATGGTCCTCACCCCTGGCTGCCCTTCTTATGTGGAAAGTTTTCATTTTAATACAAGCTAGTGAAATTACTGGCCATTGCATTAATAATAACAATTTCTTCAAAAATGTCTTTTATCTCCAAGTTAATGTTAAAGTTGAAAGCAACTCCAATTAAAAATTGTGGGCTTTGGTAAGAAGATAACAGTGATTAATTTGCAAGACGAATTTGAAAATAGCTGAGACTATTTTTAAAGCATTGTCGGCTCGGCGCCTGTGGCTCAAGTGGCTAAGGCGCCAGCCACATACACCTAAGGTGGCGGGTTCGAATCCAGCCCGGGCCACCAAACAACAGTGACGGCTGCAACCAAAAAATAGCCTGGCGTTGTGGCGGGCGCCTGTAGTCCCAGCTACTTGGGAGGCGGAGGCAGGAGACTCGCTTGAGCCCAGGAGTTGGAGGTTGCTGTGAGCTGTAATGCCACAGCCCTCTACCCAGGGGGACAGCTTGAGGCTCTGTCTCAAAAAAAAAAAAAAAAAAAAAAAAAGCATTGTCAACAAGGAAGATTTCCCTATAAAAAGTCATATTAATTAAAAGTGTGCAGGAATAGATAACAAGATCTATAGAAAAAACAGTCTCAGAAGGACTAGTGCCACTGGGGATTCCATGCTGTGTTTCCAACTTGGTGGGGAGAGGGTTGAACATTTAATAAGTGGTGCAGATCAATTGGCCGTCCACTTGGGAAATCAATAAACTGAGATCCCTACTACATGCTGTAATTCCAGATGGATTAAAGGATAACCCTAAAACTCCACCATAATGCTAAGAGGAGGAGGAGGGGACTCTGTACTTGGGGACAGGGGAGGCACATCAGCCCCGGAGTGGACATGCGTCAGGAGGGTAGAAGCTCACGCCTGGCAAGAGCAACGGCACAGTGAGGAGAGATGGCAGCAGACAAAGGATTTCTTCACAGGATTTACAGGGAAATTGCTGGAATTTAGAAAGAAACAGCAGGGAGCAAAATAGGCTGTGAGCACGTGGGAACCAAGACACGCAGGCCTCAGTCGCACATGGGAGGCGCCCCGCTCTGGGTGAGCCAGGGCATACTGGTCAGGGAAAAATGAAGTTAATGAAATGATGTTGACTCCACCATTCTGTCAGAAGGTGAGGACTGCCCTGCGGCTCAGCCGCCTGCCCCTGGCCTGGAGCCTCCAGAGGTACAACTTTGTTCTTCCACCTGGTGGTGATGTGCTTGAGAAGCCACTGTGGGGCCACAGCAGGGACAGGGCAGGACACTTCCACTCCTTGGTCAGCTCTTACATCTCAAGCTAAAAGACCCAGTTTGAAAAGGCTGCATCAGGGAGTATGGGCTGCTCTGTGCCCTGGGGCCTGCACTTGGCACTCTGGCCCCAGCCCTGGGAAGGCACAGTGCCGACCCATTTTTTTTTCTTTAGGGACGGAGTCCTACTTTTGTTGCCCTCGGTAGAGTTCTGTGGTGTCATAGCTCACAGCAACCTCCAGCTCTGGAGCTTAGGCAATTCTCTTGCCTCAGCCTCCCAAGTAGCTGGGACTACAGGCGCCCATCACAATACCCAGCTATTTTTTTTGTTGCAGTTTGGCCAGTGCCGTGTTCGAAGCTGCCACCCTTGGTATATGGGGCTGGCGCCCTACTCACTGAACCACAGGTGCCACCCCTCTTCCCCCCCATGCATTCTTTTTTAAAAGTCCATCTCTAAGTGCAGTGTGTTTGAGAAAGTGCCCCGGAGCTCCCAGCCCTGAGCGCCACGCGGTGTCCCACAGCAGGTGGCGTCAGTGAGGCCAGAGATGGCCAGAGACGGGTGCTGTGCAACCGAAGTTTCCTCTCCTGCTCTCCAGTCCACTGGTGTCTTGTTAGCAAATGCCATGTCACAGACAGTTCTCACTTTGTTCTCAGCAGCCTCATAGACAGTGGTATTCGGTGGCCATGACCCACACTGTCAGAGTAGAAGTCTGGGGCTTGAGAGGTGGCTTAGAAGTTTGCACCATGATCGTAGTTGGACAGTTGCCATGTGCATGTTTTCCAGGGGGAAAATCTTTGTGAAGCAGATTATGGTTGGTTTAAAAATGTGGAAGATTTTTTTCAAAAATGTTTTTCGTGATACCTAGCTAAAATACACATGCACACATACATCTGTGCAGCCGTGTTCCTTTATCACTTTGAAAGCTCCATGTGGGCACCAGAACATGGTGGGCCTGTGTGCCCAACACTTGGCAGTGCAGAGGCCATGCAGAGTGGCGTCAGGCAGGGCCACCCGGGGCGTGTGGGTGCCTCCAGCAGGTGCCTTCACGGGATGTGCCTCCCACCAGTTTGCTCCCGCTCCTCCCTCACTTGGTGTTTTCTTATTCAAGCATCTCTGCCCGGCCCTTTGTCCTTCTCAGTGGGGCCACAGTTTCCACGAACTGAGCAGCACACACGTGTCTGTGTTGGAGAGAGCGAGAGCTGCGTGGTGCTCCTGGGTTGAAGTTCCAGGGCACAGAGCAGCAGAAGATGACAGAGGATGTGTGGTGGGACATGTGGCCTGGTTGGCATCAGCACCGTCCATGACTTGTGTCCCTTTTTCCCCAGAATCATCGATCAGAGGTTCGAGAAAGTGTCCTACTTCGTCTTTGGTGATTTCAACTTCAGGCTGGATGCCAAGTCTGTTGTGGAGGTAGGTGCCATCCCCTATCCTCCAGGCCTTGCAGCACAAGGACTCCTTAGATGCGAGAGAGCAGGAGTGTCCCCCTCTCGGCCAGTCACGCTGTCCCCAGCCCCACTGGTGTGTCTGGAAGGCAGAGGCTCCTGGTGAAGAGACACTACTGTGGGCCTAGTCCTGGGTTGGGGCCCGTCAGTGCCACAGAGCTGTAAAAGCCTCTTCCTGACTGTGTGCACGGAGCCCCTCTGTCTGATTTGATGATGGTGTCCCCTCTTCACCTTTGGGAGCTCAGAGCTGGTATGTGGCTGCTGGGTGCACTCATGGCCTATGGCAAAAAGCTTGGCATCAAGGTCAGACTCATTAGCAGGGGTTGCCAGGTGGGAAATGGAGCCTGTGTAGAGGCGCAGGGCTGACTTTCCCAGTGGTAAGGCCCCACCTGTGGCCTTGGGAGCAGTTCCTTGCTCTGGAGTGTGCAGCTGAGAACTGTTAGGCCTCCAGGCCATCCCCCGCTGGTTCTTCTGTGATCATGCATCTCCTAGGGAAATAGGAGTGGGCCTGACAGGAGGGTGGGGCTGCAGGAGAACACCCTGAAGACATAGCAGTCCATGAAGGTGCTTTTCCCAGTGGAGTCTCAGCTCCAAGCAGTGTCACATGTTAACCTTCCATCCTCAACATCCTAAGACACAACTGAGCAGGCTTTTGCTGGACCTAAGTCCCTTTGGCTGATGGAAATGAGCAGTGTGCAGTAAAGTCTTCCTTTTGTATTTAATGAGGCTGATAGTGCCCACCAGCAAGACTCTGCCACCTGTGTGCAGATGCCTGGCAAGACTCTGCCACCTGTGTGCAGATGCCCGGCAAGGCCGTGCCACCTGTGTGCAGATGCCCGGCAAGACTCTGCCACCTGTGTGCAGATGCCCGGCAAGGCC